AAAAATGTATCCAACAATTTTTGGGTGAAGAAAATTTGGATATTGATATATGTGATTGTGAAAAATTAAGATATATATTCTAATAAAAAATGAAATAATGCACACACAGCTTCTCAAAAATAAAAATAATGTAAACAACTAACTTTTGAAAGATCGAAGTTAAGATATTAGCATATTTGTTTCTGTACTTGTAGTTGTTTTCATTTTAGGGATGATCAAGAGGCTTGATTTGGTTGATTATTAAACGAAGATAGCAACAATATATCCATTATTAATGGAATTGGGATTGACAGCAATTTTTGTTATATTCTGAACCAATTTTAAATCACCTTAGCTATCAAGAGTTTAAATTGTACAATAAAATGAAAAGCAAGTATAAAGCAAGGTTTTTAAAATCGGGCCGAACTGGCCGGTTGAACCGGTCAAATCAGTACCCAATGATAAAAACGGTTTGGTTTACATGAAAAAACCGTTGATGTCAAAATCGGTTAAAATGGTCAAAAATTGGTTAAAACTAGTCAAAACCAATGGAACCGATGGAACCGATACCGGTTCAATTTCTCATGCAATTTTCTTTCATTTTTTCCAATTTCACCCTCCCCATTCCTTTCTTATAACCATTTTAACCTTTAATTTTAACAAAATTACAAAATTATCAAATACCGAATTAGAAAATCCCGCCTGTAACCTGCTCCTCTCATTGGATTTCCTTTGCTGTTTGGATCAATCGGTTTATTAATTTAACCGATTGAACCAAGAATCGAACCTAAAAACGATTCAATGACCGGTTCGGTTTTAAAAACCTTGGTGTAAAGACAAACAATTATGTGTCCCACTTAAAAAGATGACAAAAGAAAAAAACGAGACAATACATGCAGTGTCTTGAAAATAAAGTAATATAAACAACAATTTTTTGAGTGATGAAAGGTTTTTCTTCTTTTTTATTTTTTTATTTTTTTATTAAGTCTATAAATAAAAAAAATTTATTTAAAAGGTATAAGGTACACTGAACCCATTTACATTTGAGTCAACCCATTTGGATATGAGTCAACACATAACTCCATCTCACAATGCGTTGTAGTTGAGTGTCCCCACCATAGATAGGATGCAAACCATATCCTCCATGAATTTATACAACCAAACAAGAGAAGGTTTGGGTGATGAAAATTTGGACATTGGTCTATTTCCTTATGTACTTGTATGTATTTTTTTTTTTCTAAAGATGATTAAGAGAACGGGTTGATAAGTTTATCTTATCGTAGATTTTTGTTGGATTCGCTACAAATTGCAAATTTCCTTACTAGAGTTTGGATATTGGACTATTAAAATTAAAAATAGGTTTAAAAGTAGATAATTATGTATTCTACCCAAAAAGATGGCGAAAGGGAAAAAGGGACCACAAATGCTACATCTTGGGGATAAAAATAATGGACACAACAATTTTTTGTGTAATGAAATTTTATATATTGATATATGAGATTGAGAAAAATTAAGATATTTTAATAAAAAATAAAACAATACATAACATGTCAAACATGTCAAAGATAAAACTAATTTAAGAAGCTAACTTTTGGGTGATGAAAGTTAGGATATTAGTATATTTGTTTCCGTACTTGTAATTGTTTTCATTCTAAGGATGATCAAGAGGTTT